AGAGACGTCGATATAATCAAAGCGTGGCCAGCGATAGTAGAGGAAGCTTCAACTCGTCCAGAAACTACCCCTTCTGTCGTTCTCCCTACACAGAATGGTGTATCTTCATTTCCTGACTACAACCCTGAATCACCCCCATGGAAAACCACACACCACACGAAATACAAGCTAAAACTCCTTGGTACTTCGTGTTCTCTAGTAACGCGAGACGATCAAGTCCTTTCCTACCAGGCATACCTCCCTCCCACAGAGCTCATTGCCGCTCTTCAAGAGGTCCCTCTGTCTCAAGTCAGGTTTGATTCTGAATACACAACCAACTTCACTCCAGTCAGAGTCACCAATCCCGCCGATCCATTCGTCCCACCTCCCACTTTCGAAGAAGCGACTGGTCCTTACGCATTGGCTATCCAAATTGCATCGCAGATTGCCGGCTTTTGGAATCTCACAGATGACTGGGAATTCAAGTTCGCATTCAGAGATGACAAACCCGTACGTTCGGTTTCGGCGACGGACGGGTTTTCTCTCGAACAAGCCATTTCCGCAGCCAGCAATAGTAACGCCATCAATGGGGGTCCTCAGACGTCTTATGGGACCTCTCATATTTCTGGGAACCGTCATATGACCACACAGGAGCTGGAGAAGGCTAAGGCTTCGTCACTGGGTATGCCCAAAGCTGTCGGCCAAGTTTATTCTCAGAAAAATTTCCACGGACTGTGGTGGGGTGCAGAGCGGATTTGGACAGGAGACCTTATACGCTTGAAAATCGGTCGAAACGCCATCGCACGGAATGGTGCACCTCATATTGTAACCCCGGCCCCCCCTAGTGCCAGCGTGCTTCAACACAACCAAAGCTCAGGTAGCAACTGCGACCCTGAATCACTGGGTGCGGCGTCTCGTGGCGTTTTCCTGCGCTTGGATGCGTTGTTCACTGTAGATGTTGATGACAGTCGTGGAAAGAAGAAGAGCGAATGTCGGGCTGCAGGAGCGTTGTTTGAGTTGGCTGACGAGGATTGGTTTGATCCTGAGGAGGCACTGGATAAAGACAAGTCTCCCGGACCGCCTCGGGGAGTAGGGATTAACGATGTTAATGGATATACGAACGGCATATCTAACGCTCTTCCCCAACCTTCACCATTAAAACCTTCTGCACTCCCCAATCCTAATCCTGCTGTCCCAGTTAATGACACCGCTCCTCATATGCTCTCAGAAATCCTCCCCAACTCCACTAATACTGTACCCTCCAATAATACTTTCAAGACTCCGATCCCGGTCACCCACTACGACCTCCCTAAAGCCCCAATCGGTTACAAATTCCGGCCTATACTCGAAAAAGGCTACGAAGCTGTATTCAGTCTAACACTCCTAAGTGGGCGGTATTACCCACGTATTTTGAGTCACCCGCTTCTCTCTGAGGCCATTGATTCCGCATTTCAAGCTGATGGTTCGGCAAACTCTCAAACGGCTCATTTGTGGGCTTTGGAAGGACTTGAAGCGGGTGTGATGAATTCGGTGGACCCGATTAGATATAAGAAGGATCGGCTGACGATGTTGGTGGATGCAGAAAGCAATGCAAGGACACAGTTGAATGACTATGTTGAGAGTACAGAACAGGGTAAGGCTAATGGGGAAGTTGCAGTTCCGAATGGCGACGCTGTCGAGGAGAATGCAACTTCGATGAAGCAAGAGATGGACGTGGATCGGCTGGAACTGGCGATTGACCCAATGCAAGTAGATTCACAATAAATACCTTCTAGTTCAAGTTTGCGGTAGTACATGTGTGTATATATCTGCTGTAGTACATACAACCTAAGTTCTATGTAAATAGCTGTCATCTTACTACCGTGAGGTCAGCTCTACAGTGTTCTTGAACGCTCCCAGCAGTGCGCTCATCTGGATTTTCTCGCTCCCACCAGTTGAAAGACGATACCTGGTACAACATTAGCGTCTTTGTTGCGAAGAATAGAGAATTGGCAACAACTGACTCCGTAGTAGCTATATGGTCGAGGAGGTAGATCCTAGCATGGGGCTTGAGTTCGATTGTCTCAATATATTCATAAACCCCAGAAAGGAGATCTTGAAGAGCCAGACCGCGTTCCGTCTTCATTTTCGATATCACTGTAGGCATGCCTTGTGAATCACCGCGTTCGAATGATCCTATACCACTCACATTGGTGCGCCGTCGTAAACTCGTCGGATAACATGGATTTAACAATCGTCTCAATATCAGAGGGATGTGGATTTCCTGTACAGCTATAAATCTCCGTTTCAGTGGTAATGTCGTAGGCTGCATGACAGGCTTGGAGCACGTTGAGAGCACGTCGCATGTCGCCTTTCGAAAGCTTTAACAAAGCCTTTTTGCCGTCGTCGGTAAGTTTCACGCTAAAAGTACGCTGTCAATGATCGATTCGAAGAGATATGATATCTTATTACGCACTTTTCTGTCTCTACCACAACGTTTATCCTTTTCTCCACCTCTATTATTGGTAAAGGCGAAAAACGAAACCGAGTACATCGACTTTGAATGGCAGGTGCAATCTTGTTGACATAATTGCAGATGATACAGAATCGAACATTCCGGGTATACTGCTCGATGACACGACGCAAAGCTGCTTGAGCTGCCTGAGTCATCATATCTGCTTCGTCGAGGATGATGAGTTTGAAACCTTTGGAGAAAAGGGTACGCGTTTCTGCGAACTGTTTGATTTGTTCGCGGACTACGTCGATTCCTCGGTCGTCTGACGCGTTGAGCTAAATAAGGTATCAATATTTGTCGTGCCTGACGAGAACAAGCGAGTCAACACACTTCAAGGATTTGTTTCTTATATTCAGCTCCGTATATCCGTCGCGCCACTGCAAGAATAGTCGAAGTTTTTCCTGTTCCCGGAGGCCCGTAAAATAAGAGATGTGGGAGTCGGTTTTTCTCGATGAACTTTTCGACTGTAAATCCATAGAATAAGACGCGTTTAGTGGCACGAGGAGGGGTCCATACTGGTGCTAGTGATGTCTCTATGGGAGACAACATCATCCAGTGTCACTGGCCGGTATTTTTCGACCCTAAAAGCGCGTCAGTGTGAGCTTGGAGCTTTGCTAGTATAGTGAACTGACCAAGGGAGATTTTCGTTCAACTCGATGTCAGTATTTGAAGCCTTTCCTTTTCCTTTCGCAGATGTAGGAATAACATCTATGTCCATCATTTCTTCGTCGCTCATTTTGAAGGTGGTAGTACAAAAGCAAGTCACGCGTCAAACGACGCGTACGAATTCAAACTCCGACTCATCTAGTGATCCACAAGCGTTTCTTCAGCGCTTCGGCTTTTTGTGCTTTTTCCCATTGCCCCCCTTGCCTACTTAAATCCGCATTACTCAGATTCAGAGATTATTGGTTCCGAGCCACGCTCGCCTATTACCACCGTTCCATAATAAATCTCGGATCTTGATAACCTGGCGGTTATTCCGAATGCAGGTGAGGTGGCCTCGAATCGAAGTAAAGTACTCAGATTTGGCTAAAACGGAGTTGTCGCTGGTTCACAATGGCCGTTATTCTCACCACCAAAATTAAGCCGATCTGAGCAATCTCACCGGGAGTCCGCCACTGTGACAATACACCTCGATATGTTCCAGGCACTGTGAATACACTGAAAGAGTTTTCTCACTCTTAATATATTTCTTCTTCAAGGATTGAACCTCATCAAAGGTATTGGAGTTGCTGTGATTATTGTACCCAGTGTGCAAGAAGGCCAAGGCTGTTTAATGCACTCAATAAATCGAACTGGAGCTCTCTATCTGGCTAGCTTCCTTGCTTCTCCGAGTTCAATAAACAGCGGGAGAAGCTCTTATCTACCTTATCAAATGATCACCAACGACCACCTCGCGAGTGGCCAAAGCGTTCAATGCTGGAGATACATGCACGTTTGAAGAGACGATTCCGATGATTTGTGCTTGCCGTTACTCGGAGTATCCAAGAGAGCTCTCCAACGCTACTCCTCTCAGGTAACTACTTGGAATAGTTTGAATCAAAGAGTAGTGCCCAGAGTTTTCCACGCCATGTCGCTGCTGCGTACAGCCTCCGAATCGATCACTTTTTACTGGTTTGTGATAATGTCGTTGGTCTATATATTTCAGGACCCGTGTAAGTTGCTTACTATCTGAACAAAAATGTCACTCTATAAGCAACAAGTTCTCTAAGGGGATAAATACTCTCGTGTTTCTTCTGGGGTAGGCAGGACTCCATACTATAGCATCTCACACTGGGAGAGACAAGCTCATATGATTATTGAAATAAGTACGTATCTTTTTCCACTTTTGAAGATTTTTGCAGATGCTCCTCATAATGGACCCGATGAAGATCACTAACTGGCTATTCAAGTGGATACCAGACGGTTGATGGGATAACAACCGCTTTGGCCCGTGGGATAAAAAATGGGACAAAGGTGACATTGAATGGATTTCCTTCAGTGTTCCAACCCGAGGCCCATGTTGCGACGTATGTGGTACAGCTGAATGTCATAATAAACCAAGGAACTAGCCAAATGACTATATATAAGCGGCCTGTAATAATCGAGGTAACTTTCACGGTTCACCAAGAATTCTAGACACTTGCTCCATAGTCCAGGCCCCGGACGGGTCTCTCTTTTATTCACGACACATACAGATAGCCTGAATGGATGTAATACAAATGAAAGCTCTTATCTAGGAATGTCTATAATTATTCATTCGGTTGTCATTCGGGCAGAAGTACCAAAGCTTCTGGTCAGTAGATCACAGGATGACTCAAAAGATGAGTCGGGATGGAACGCCAATATCAGAACACATAAAGGGGACGTATGAAATACCAGACTTGCCCGGGGTTGACCGCCAAGCTATATCTGGCCTCATCGCTGGCCTCAAAATTCTGTAGAGCCGTCGCTTCGCGAAGATACAGTATCCGGGCTGTCAGACTGTCACATCGCTCCGCGATAGAAAACACCTCAAAAAAGGCTTGGGCCCAAAAATTTACTGTTCTGATGAGAGTGGGATTCGAACCCACGCCCTTTCGGACCAGATGAATGGACGCATCCAATGCGTTGGTCTCCTTAGTCTGGCGCCTTAGACCGCTCGGCCATCTCACCATGTAAATTAAGAGGTTAAGTTCGTATATATGTCCAAAAGACTCCAACTGACCCCCTTCTATTAGTTATCACTGGCTATTAGTATCGCGGTGTCAATGCGCACTTTGCGCGTCCAATAGATAGATAGATATGAGGTCTCCGGGTTTTTTTTTTTTTTTTTTTGAGTCAATTTTAATTTTTCCCGCGCCGCACTCGCGGCACGTTACCCTGAGAAAGCAGCTGTATAGGAGACACCGCCACAACGTTCATCTCTTTTTTCACTCAACTCTCGGCTCTTGCTTTTGTTAAAGACTCCACCGTTTAGTTCGTTGGACAGACAGAGGCGTCCGTTAACAGGATGCAGATTTTCGTGAAGACGTGTGTTCTCAATGCATCTGTTCCACATCACTTTTACTAACTTTCTCCTTTTCGCGCAGCCTTACGGGCAAGACTATTACCCTCGAGGTAGAATCCTCTGACACTATCGACAATGTCAAAGCCAAAATCCAGGACAAGGAAGGGTATGTATTGCGCTTTATATTAACGAGCTTTTTCGTGACTTGGGCCTCCAGGATTCCTCCTGATCAACAGCGATTGATTTTCGCCGGAAAGCAGCTTGAGGATGGACGTACTCTCAGCGACTATAACATCCAGAAGGAATCCACTCTTCATCTGGTCCTCCGTCTCCGTGGTGGTGCCAAGAAACGTAAGAAAAAGACCTACAATGTATGTTCTCGTTATTTTCACCTGTGTGGTCATGCCGCTGACTCATTATTTATGTAGACTCCCAAAAAGATCAAGCACAAGCGTAAGAAAGTCAAGATGTCCATCTTGAAGTACTACAAGGTGGACTCGGATGGCAAGATCAAGCGTCTTCGTCGCGAGTGCCCCACTGCCACATGTGGTGCTGGAATCTTCGTGAGCTTTTTATAATTTGTAGTATCGTAATCTACTAACGGAGATTATCTAGATGGCCTTCCACAAAGACCGTCAGTATTGCGGCAAGTGCGGTTTGACTTACACATTCACCCCCGGAAGCAAACCTCCGGCAGTTTAAGGGAAAGTAGACGCACCCTATAGGATGTATTAGTTAGGGTTCCTTACGATATGCTCTTATTCATGCCATGGCAATTATCGCTGATTTAATCGTTCTCTATTTGCCTGCCTCTAAATTCACGATATCACCCCCAGACGACGACATTAATACATCATTTTGTAAGAACGTTCCGGTTTGCCTTTTCCGAAGGCAAATAAACACTATCATAATTTCGCTGCCGCTTCTCGCTAGCTCTATTGGCAGGCTTTTCTTCTCAGCAGAGTGCCGCTGCTAACTGATAGTGAAACAATTAGCTCAAGGGTTCCACCACCGACGGTTGGCGTTCCTTATAACGAGACTGATCTTTTTCCCGGGTCCCAAGGACCCCCATGGATGAAAACAGAGTCGATATTCGCCAGGCAGTCAGTGACTCGAGTCTTTCTAATTTCTTTCTCTCTCAACTAATGCACTAACTATAGCCATACAAGCTGCCCACAGACGTTAAGGAGATGGATGTAAGCGGTCCTTTGTCCTTGCAAAAGCTCCACACTGAAGGTGAAACCAGAGACTCGGTATCCAACATACCATCTGGTCACTCATGATTGGAGGTCTTTTTCCTATCAGTGTGAATGACAAGGTTCATCATCTCTTGAACGTCGGAGCAAGCCAAGCCACCGTCCTCGATGTTGGGTGTGGTTCAGCAATCTGGTGAGGCAACCAGCCGAGGCTCTTTCTGTGGCTAACCTTTGTTCAGGGCTATTGGTATGGCAAACATGTTTACCAACGCTCGGGTTGTCGGACTCGACTTGAACACCCAAACGTTCTCGTAGGTGACATGATATTTTCGTTAATATTATATCTCAGTCTTTCTGCAGGGATGCCCCAGAGAACTTTAGGTGATTGATTTCTCGGTCATCTTTCTTTTCAAATGGAAACCAATCATGCGCAGTTTTATCCAAGGCGACTTGTCGTATACGCTGCCAGAATTTACTGGTCAAGCCGATATTGTCCATTGCCGTTGTGTAGCACAGCATGTAAGTGTTATGATGATCGCTTCCCATCCTGCCTCGGGGGTTAGCGGATGGAATTACGATTTTTAACGCCACTCTTACGATAGGTCAAGGATCCCCAAGCCCTCGTACGCATGCTCGCTGATGTCTTACGACCCGGTCGCTACATTTTCCTCTTTTATTTCCGCCTGAACGCCTTCTAAATTACCCTCACGTATAGGCGGTCTTCTCCTTTTGGCGGACGGTGATTGGATCGTCTACGATAAGCACAGGAAGCTTGTTGAGCCATTCAAGTGGTGGGAATCCAGTACGAGTATGGGGAAACCGATGCTCCACGAAGGAGATGCCCGAGGCCGTTCGTGGTACGCAGGCTGGTTAGATTTTTTCGGAAATCTAACTAGAAGTAAGGACTACCGACAAATCGAGGAGCTGGTCAAGAATGTCGAGACGTTAAATATATTGCACTCACGCCGTTATCTTAGTCCAATCAACTGGCCTGGGGAAGGTATTGAGAACGGCGAAGCCTTGGGCAAGGTTTTAAATGTTAATCAGCGGGTAAGCTGTCTCTTTCTTTTGTCTTTCTTTGCTTTGACATTCTTCTACCCGTGGCTCTCAGTATTTTTTCTTTGGGGCTAAAGAAATCGCGTTGAAGGCTGGACTCTCTCAACAAATGATTGAAATCTGGGGACGCCATTATGAGGAGGAGGTGGACTCCGGTCACTTTTACAATGTATGGCACTATCTTACCGCTCAGAAGTAAATCTATATTCTAGCGAATAAGTAAGCGACTAGTGTAGGAACAACAATGATATATAATAATACCTAGATGCAAATCTATCTACAGAAACGGTATGTCTAAGTTCTACTATAAAGGTAAAGGTCTAGTCCTCTATCTAATAATAACTACGAAGTTGAAGAAGTTTGTAGGAGCTTGAGTACGTGCTGGACGTCAGCCCAGTGTTCCTCGTGTCCACAAGTACCGTGAACCTCTACCAATGAAGGAAACAAGCGATTTAAAAAGGAGGCCATTAATATAGGTAGATCTGGTGGCGTAAGGGCCGATATCGTTATGTTGTGTAAAGAAGCATTTGGATTTTGAGAGTATTTAGTGACGCTTTCGTGTGTGATCCCAGTAATATCCACCGGAATCACGAGGGTCTTAAGCGCTGGACTACCTCGCGAGAGGACCGATAGTCCTCCCGGAGTAACCCTCGGAGACCATCTCCGGTCGAATGTTGGGAGGGAGCCCAAGTCAAGATGCTCCAGGTGGGACCACCATCGCACAATCTGCTCGAGATCTTGATCCTGAACAAGAATCGGAGGAGTAGTTTCAATGGTGAGCCGTCGAAGAAAATAGTGATTAGAAAGTGATTGTAAATGGTCGAATTGAAGAAGGGCATTAGGATTCGTACGGATGGGGTTATTATTTGTGTGTGTAGTAGGTGTGGTATCTGAACTAGTGGTATCGTCATCATCTAACGATAGATCTTCCGTGTCCATGTGGTGTTCTATAGTCAATTCATGAAGACTGGCTCGCGTTTTATCCCTGATAGCGGTGAAGAGCCCAGTCCAAGTGTCATCGGTTGAACTCATAAGTTCAATATCAATCGTCAAAACTGAAAGGTGCTCGCTCTGCATATTTTGTAGAAGCTTTTCAATAAAGCTGGTGCGACCGCGGATATTAAGCGACTGCAGCGAAGGAAAACATGTCGAGGAAAAGCACAAGTCCTCGGGTAGTAGGTGAGATGTCTGGAGTTCTAATTCCTTAAGGCAAGGAAAGGTGGCAAGGGCGAGCACAGTCTCAGCGGGTAGTGATGCCCCTATGCGAAGGCTTAGATACTCCAAACGCGAGAGACCGCTCACTGCATTCACCAGTTCGCTCGACGCCATGCCTCGTAGATCGAGAGAAGTGAAGCAGGTCGACACCCGATCCACCGTCAATATAAAATCGAGAGCTGTTCGATTGACTTTTTTGAAGGCGCTCGAGGTAAACCAAGATCCAAGTCAATTTTTTTTAGCCTGGTGGTCATTGAAATGACAGGACATATTGAAAGGCAATTAGTGAGGGCAAGCCGAACAGTGGCGAGTTTTTGAAAAATGAATGCGACTTTGCAGTCCTGGAGAAGGAAAGACAGAAGTGTAGGATGAATTTTTATGTGCTGACGATAAGCGATGTTTTTGACTCGAGAGGCGTAGTGACGCAGGCGTCGAAAATCGGGAGAAACTGGAGATTCAAGGACCTAATGAAATGTAAGCTAACCGACAAAAGTAATAAGCAAAACACCATAGCTTACATAGACTCCATCGACCGTCAGAACACCAGGAATGAGCTCAAGAAGAGGGTCAAAGGATGGAAGATATGTGGCCCATAGCCTGTCGAAGGCAGGGTCCCATGCTTGACACACTCTGCCGATTCGACTTAGACTTGCAGAGTCAGTGCAAGAGTCGAGAACGGTAGCTAGTATCTCATCTATAAGCAAAGCCTGGTGCATACCTCAAATGGGGGGAAGCGAGAAAATGAGCGCCCAAAAAATTTGACGTGTGAAACTTGTGTTCAAGGCAGCGCTAATTTTTGATAGGGATCGCTTTGACCTTCTTCCATCATGTCAGTTGCATTGGAGAGCGGTCTTGATCCAGAAGAAATTCTTAATAGCTCGCTGGAAATACTTTACGATTACCAGCCAATCACTCTCGCCTCCACTGGAAGCGTTTTCACCTATACATTGAAAAGTTCATTTGCAGATCATTCCTCTGAAGCTTTGCAGACGGTCACACTCCGCACACCTGATACAGATGCTTCCAACTGGTCTCTACATGCATCATCTGTCTGGGCCTCATCCAAATATCTTGCCGACAACCTCGACGATCTTCATCTGAAAGATCATATCTCCCGACGGCGCTCAGGAAACAAAAACGACAAGGTCCGTGTGCTTGAACTCGGAGCTGGAGCTGGCCTTCCTGGCATTGTCATCGCC